CGAGATTACTCATGTCTTTTAAAAGAGTTCACTACTAAGGTACAACTTCAAGCCAAACCTATTAGTTCTGATGATTTACTTAATTCACATTGGGTTCTGACTTGTGGCAATCACTGAAAGCAAGAGTTTTTGGCTTTGCTAAAAATTCTCAACATAAACCATAACAAAAGAAAAAAAAATAAAAACCACTCAAAAGGAAATGACAACCCTAGAATGTTTCCAAGATAGATATTATCCTAAATACCATCCCAGGAAAAGTAACCCCCCTGGATCCTAGTCGGGTACTTTTCAAATATCCGAAAATCTGTACGCCACACAAAGATCAGGTCGAGCTAACCACATCTACAACTTGAATCCCAACAAAAACTGAATTACTTTGAAACCAGCTAAGCCAAAAACAGAGGCTAGTGCCTCAGAAGTGTTAGGTCTGAATTTTTAATTGAATCACCAATCTTCCTGCTTTTCATCTAATGATAACCAAACTACCCCATTCTTCTTTTATGTGCTAGACCCCTTACTTTGCCTGGCTTCTTGCCAATCTACAAACATCTCTCCTTCACTTTCTGCTTCAGTTTTTTCTAATTAGCTAACTTTGAGGTCTAGATAAGGAAAAGGTGCTTTTCTAGGAACTGCCTAATAAAACATTTGACTTACTCCCTGCATAACGACATTTTCTTTCTGAGAAACGTTCCAGGGCCGGTGCTCCGTTGGTGGCCCCGAGGTCTAGCGCCCGTCAGAGCTCGCCAACTCTCGGGGCGTCTTTCTGTTGGCCCGGGCACATAACTGCTCAACGTGCCCTTCTCTGGAACCACTGATTTTAACGGAACGCAGACCCAGTGAGGCCCTCAAAGACCTTTCTTCAGAAAAGACGGCTTAGTCGAGCCATTACTCCTCGCTCCGCTGATAACGCCTACGGCGAACCTGCCTGCTGGAAACCCGCGGAGTTTTCCTCCTCACAAAGACCCGGGGTGACCCGCGAGTGGTAGCGCCCCTCTGGAGGGAAAGGTACGTACCCCTCTCCCCTTCAGCCTCCTAGCTCACAGCGTCACCCGCCCCGACAGCCCCTTCTCAGACACAGGCTCCGCCGAGCGGACGGCCGGGTCCCTCAGCCCCGACCCAGGAACTTAGTACCAAGCTTGTGCTCCATCTCTCTCCCCACGGCCCCCCACTTGGTTCAGCCCACCCGCAAGAAAACTCGATCAGCAACTGCGGCCAACCGCCCCTTCCCCCACAAACCGCGGATTTGGTTCCACCCACACCCTCCCCCCACCCCAACTTGGTTCAACTCGGCCCCTCACCCAAAGACATATCGATTTTGTCAAGGTTTTCATTGCTGCGGGGTTTCGAAGGTGGCGACGGGTTCGCCGTGGCGCCCACTAACCGGGTACCAAACCGGTTCATGGCTGGAGACGTCGCGCTGGAAAAGTCAGCGGAGAAGGCCAGAGATTGAGGCCTGCCACCTCCCACTCACGCACGCAAACTAGCTTCACCGAGGGACCGCGCACGCGTGCAGACGGCGCCCTCGCCCTCCCACCTGCTGCGGGGGAGGGGAGGAGAGTACCAGAGACAAGCGGTCGACAAGAGCGGCCCCACGCCCGGACTCGCTCCTAGCGGCCCTTGCTGGCCGGGAGGAAACATTGCAACCGCTGCTCTGGGCTCCTGCAAGGACCGCTGTTTCAGCAGTTCGCCTTTCTGCGCAAATTGGGGAGGTGCTACACGCTGGGCACCATAGAATCACGTTTTAAATGATATCATGTTTCTCCGTGTCCTTTGAGTCCCTCCTGCTGCAGAAAAGCCCCCTAAGCTTTGGTACACGTGAACCTTGCACACTCTACTGCATTGTAGCCTCGAAGGCAGGACAGACCCCTGCGAACGTAAATTACAGAACTACGTCCCAGCTCCCCTTCTCCCTGGCAAGCTCCTCCACTTGCAGCATGCGGAGTCGCCACGTCTGAACGCAAAGCAGAGGCTGCAGTGACAATTCTTGCGTCACCGTAACGATAAAAGTAAAAGCTTACGTCTCCTGTATCTATACCGCCTCTCAGTTGGCACTCTCAAAACATTTCGCACGGTACTTTGGCCTTAATAGGACCTCATCTTCTCTTGGGAGAGGGGTAAGTACTTCTGCTTTTTTTGGCTGCATTTTCCTCTAATTTGTTTGCGCTGGGACTTGATAGGAGGATTCGTTTTCTTTCTAATCACCCCTATAGGAAAACGTCTTAAAATATGATGAATTCTTACATAATAACCTTTTTTTTTCCTATTTACAAAACATGATATTCCCCTCTCCTCTTACTCTACTCCTCCCCCAAAAGTAACTGCCTTGTGTGGAAGCATTTAGGTTATATTATCATCATAACAGCTTCAAACAATCTCAGACATTTACATCTGAAGACAAAACCAGAGACAGGTATTCTGTGCATTTAGAAATCTCTGCCACCTTCCTCCTTGCCACTTCCTAAAATTTTTCTTGCATACACATGAGCCAGAGCTTTGCAGTGGCTCAAAGTATCTCAGAACCACACAGTAACCTACACTTAATGTAGGAGTCAAAATATCAACAGTGCTGTGGTTCCCAACTTCTTTAACACCAATGACACATTTACTATTTTTAGCTTAGGGACCTGTGTTTTTAAATACTTCTTATTAAGCACATTGCATTTATTAAGAACTTATTTTCCACTTTTCAATTAATAAAAAAAAAACCAAACTACATGCTAGCTCCCCTTTCATGTCTGAATGCAAAGCAAAGGCTGCAGTGACAATTCTTGGGTCACTTTAACAATAAAAGTAAATGTGAACGTTTTTGTATCTGTAACATAAATAAAGCCAAGCTTTGGTCATACTGAGTTATGTTTCCAGCTGAAAGCATAGAACCACGACTTTTTGTAAGTCTGGGTGCTCTTGTTACGGGGAAATGTATGGTTTTTATTAGGTTTTTGGAAATATTATAATAACTCCTTATTCTCAAAGGTCAAGGTTTTTTTTTTTAGTATGACAAAAATATAACCATATAAGAAAGTGAATCAGTCTAGGACACACCTATCGAAGGGTATAAGAAACTTTATGGTAGAGGAAGGTTTGGATTCAGCAAGACCCAACAACAATATTCAGCATACTGAATCAAGGAGAGTAGCATGTATGCTCTTAGCACAATGTGCTTGATTTTATTACTGCTCCACCCTACAACCTCCCGCCACCCATTCCTAACTGCTACGAACTAAGGAAAGTGGGTTGTGGAGATGAAACACTAGGTGGGAGACCTGGGTTTTATAGAATGGTACCTTTTTGTCACTCATTCAGTGATTTGCAAGGAAGGCCTGAGAATCTGCTTCTGTTAAGATAAAAAAAAAAAAAAATCCTGTTGCTACAGAGTTGATTCCAACTCATGGTGACCCCACGCGTTACAGAGTAGAACTACTCCGTAGGGTTTTCATGGACGTAATGTTTATGGAAGCAGTTTACCAGGCCTTTCTTCTCTGGTGTCACTGAGTGAGTTTGAACAGCCAACTTTTAGGCTAGTGGTGTTGTTGGGTGCCTTCAAGTTGATTCTGACTCATAGTGACCCCACGTGATAGAGTAGAACTGCCCTATAGGGTTTTCTTGGTTGTAATCTTTGTGGAAGTAGGTCTTCAGGTCTCAATCAGGTCTTTATCCCACAGAGCCACTGGGTAGGTTTGAAACGCCAACCTTTCGATCAGTAGCTGAGCTCTTAACCGTTGCCCCACCAGGGCTCCTTTTTGGATTCGTAGTTGAGCACAAACCAGTTGTGCCACCTAAAGACCCTTTCCCTTAAGCTTATGGCCAAGAAAATCCTATGGAACAGCTCTACTCTGTTACACGTGGGGTCATCATGAGTTGGAATGGACTTGATGGCAATGGGTTTGTTTGTTTCATTCATTCACTGTATGACCTTGGGAGAGTCTCTGGGCCTCATTCTCCTCATCTTCAAACAAGGAAATACAACTCTAAGATTTCTTACGGCTCTGAAGTCCTCTAAGCACAATACATTTTTCTCCACATTTTTCTTCTCTCAGTAGAAATGACTTACTATATAATCTCCACTCATTTGTGGGAATAAACTATAAGGAGGAATGTTGGATTAAGTTCTTAATTTTACAAAAGAAAATTAATACATTTAGAGTTTGAACACATTTTGTACTTCAGGTATTTCTAGGATGTATAACAAAAATCCCAAATGTACAAAATCCTTCCCACCACCAATATATAGAGATTCCCCCTTTGTCCTGGTTTTCTCCCAAAAACCGAAGCCTCATCCCAAATCTCCTTAGTCTAAAGGGAACATGCTCCAATATTTTATTAAGCAATCCTAGCTGTTGTGTTTAGGACTTCCAAGTTTGCTGAGGGTCTCAGAGCCTCAGAGCAATCATCCTGACTCCAAAGGAAAAACAAGAAAAAAAAGAATGAGGCATTGTGGGTAAGGAAAAGTCAGTCACACACAAAACAAAAAAGACAACCTGAGACACACAGCAAAATGAAGAGGGAAACAAGCCAAGAAATCAGAACTTTGGGGCCTGTCCAGGAAGTCTATCAGCCAGCTACAAGGGCTGGAGTTAAAAGGTCAACCCTGCAATTTTCTGGGGCATGAGAGGCAGCTATTCATTTAGTCATATATTCATAGAGCACCAGGCATTTATGTAACAGGCCCTGGGGATAAAATGGTGAGCAAGATGGATGCAGTCCCTACCTTCACGCAGCTTGCGGAACAAAAAATATTTTTTGAGCACTTACTTCGAATAAGGGACAGTGCTGGACACCAGGGATCCAGCCTTTGTCTGGAGTACAGCACTTTAACAGCTTCATCTAAGTCAAAATTAAGCATAGAATACAACTAGTTGCTCTTTTTAGAGGCTTGATTTCATATAATATAGATAAGACAACATTTAGGGTTGCCAGATGAAATACAAGACCAGTTAAATTTGAATTTCAGGTAAACAATGAACAACTTTTTAGTATAGGTGTATTCCAAATTTCAGATGGTGGATAATTTTTGGTACAGTATGTCCCATGGAATACTTATGATATACTTAGACTGAAAAAATTATTCATTGTTTATCTGAAATTCAAATTTAACTGGGAGTCCTATATTTCTATTCGCTAAATCTGACAACCCTAACAATATCATGCTTTTCTATGAACATTTTCTGACTTTCCACAACGTGCGTAAAAATCTATACTCTCTTCAAAGGAAGGCACAACTCTTACAGGCTTCACCCCTTAGCTTTTTTTTTTTTTTTTAATTAGTTTGATATATCTTTTAAGTCCCCTTTTTTCAGCCTTACTGAGGTATAATTGATTGTCTCAATTTTGACTCGGGAGTCCCTGGGTGGCACAAAGGGTTAAGTGCTTGACAACTAACTGAAAGGTTGGCGGTTCAAACCCACCCAGAGTTGCCTCATACTAAAAGCCTGGTGATCTGCTTCTGAAAGGTCACAGCCTTGATAAACCCTATGGAGTGCAGTTCTACTCTACACATGTGGGGTTGCCATGAGTCAGAATCGATTCGACAGCAATGGGACCCAAAGATGGAAATTTGAACCAAAGAGAGAAGTGAGACTCACACGAGAAGGCCAGAAAACAAATAGAATTTAGTACTCACAGGTCCCGGAAAGAAACTACAGCATGCTGTAAAGCTGGGTCATCCGGTCAGGTCACACAGGGGGCTTGCACCTGGGGACGAGGTAACAAACTGGAACTGTAGGTGAAGGCTTATGTATGGTAAGCAGGGTGGG